AAAAGAAAAACAACAGGAGAGCAGAAAAAAATAAAGAGAGAAAATACCTTTTAAAAACAAAGAGTGATACTGTGAACCAATAAGACCAAACAGAACACATATGCCTTAAATCAATAGACAAGCAGAGCTGTCTCCCTATTTCTCCTTTATTGGATCTATCTATGTGGCACAGTACAGTGTGTGTGTGTGTGTGTGTGTGTGTGTGTGTGTGTGATCCAACTGCAATCCAATGGCCAGTAAAGCTTTAGCTTTATAGAGCATTTTCAGAGCAAACCAGCACAGATCCCTTCAGTCTGTCCTCACTATTAGATGCAGCTGATGAAACAGTGAATTTTATTAGATAATACAGCTGTTTGGAGAGAGCATTCCTGTAGTACAGGTAGTTTACAAGGAAACTTATCAACAGCTTGTTCATAATACCAGGAAGCAACCTCCAGTGTCTTTCTGCTCCATTATTAGATGATTTAGAAATGCAAACTTTAACATAAAGACACATTTTCACTTTACAAATTAAAATTAGAAGTATTTTTTTAAGATATCTTTTTATATTTCCATGCAAAACCTCCAAGGCTGGAAAATGAAGATAATGTCGAAATACTGAAAACTGCAGTTCCTCAAATAGCCACTTTAAATTTCCATAGATTCCCACGTTAAAATGTTTCAATAGTTATTTTTCCATGTTAAAATAACTGTTGAAATAAACATTTTTACACCCTGATACATTTTTCCCTATTCATAAGAACTAAACTCTTTCATTTGGATACTGGTGAGGTTTAAAGTTAGAGTCCTGGCAAGTATGTAGCTGTCTGCTAGACTTCATCTCCATAACTAAACTGGATCCCTTGGAAGTATGTGACAATATGACGTCTGTGCTCCAGTCTCAGAGTGAAACTCTGGGATACTAATTATCTGTTATTTCCCACTAATTGGCAGGTGTACCCATATGCACCCATATGCTTTACAGATGCAGCATTTGCTGCACTCCACTCCAATTAGCACTCCATCCTTTAAATACTTCTGACTCCAAAAAACACATAGAACAAAATAGCTACAGTCTAAACAGTAGGTGCCATTGTGCTGGATCGGTCCATTTTTAAGGTACAATGTGTAGAATATATACACAGGGCTAATTACAGTGCATGACAATGAGGCTTGCTTCTAGTGGTCAAAGGAAGGTTTTGAAATCCATCCATCCACTTTTATTTTAGACATTAATACGAGTAGGATGGGAAGATTATTATGTTTAGAAACTTCTTGTCAAAGGTCACTCAACAGTCACATCTTGAGCAGCCTGAGTCAGTGTCGCCCAGGCATAGGCCTGTAAATGTACCCCACTCCCCCACCGCTCCAGTAACATCAAGACTTCATGGTCATTTTAATCCTTTTCTGACATCAGATGTGTATCATGAAAGGATCTTATTTTGTTCTCTCCTGTTTTCTGTCATGCATAACCTGCTACACTGGTGGATGCTTCTATCAAACATGGCTGAAGTTTCATATAATTATTTTAGGATATGTGCAAGTTGATGCCAAATGTCTGAGCTCAGTGTTCAGACCATTTTTATTCCACTCTAGCCTCTGTATAAGATCAGTGAGAGAGGATATCCCTAATGTGGTTATATCACTGACTGTAAGCTATTCACCTGCCATTTAAACTTTGTTTGCAAGGGGCAGCCAAAGTTGACTAAAAGAGAGTGCGAAAGGAGCAAAGAACAGCTTGTTTCATACAGTGGATGAACTTAGGGTCAAACATAGATAAGGATTATTTTTGAACTGTCAGTCATGCAAAGCAACTCTAATTAAGCCCATACCTGCAACAGGATAAAGAGAGCCACAGTAGGCACTTTTTAATCGCCACTTGGCAGTAGAATAAATGCCATATAAAGCCCGAGATGCAGGCAATTTTTCCCCGCATGTCACTTCCCACATAGTTGTGTCCCCATTATATGTAACGACCTCCTATGCCATTAAATCACCATCTTCAGTGTGTTTATCAGTTAATGCCACCACCTTCATTTAAGACGTGCCGTGTTTAAAAGTCTCGCTTCACGGCTTCTTCCTAATGAAAAAAAACATCCATCATTTTCATTTCTTTGCATTTCTTTCATATTTTTCATGAGTTAGGATCTCCGTGCGATAAATCTGTCTTTCCTTGTGGTTATTTAGGTCTCCCTGTGGTCTACGGTCATTTAGGATATAGCGGGTGGGCCATTTTCATCTGTGTCTTTATTGCCTGCAAATCCCAATTTATGCTATTTGTGTTTGCTCTTTTTTTGTAAACTGTTCTCTTTGTTGGTGGTCACTTTAGCTGTCTTTTCTTTGTATCGTTTTTACTATCTCTTTGTGGTCATTTATTATTTTCATCTATTTGCTTTTTTGCACCCTTTTGTAGTGAGCTCGTGTCTCTCTACAATCATTATTTCTTTCTTTATGGTCATGTCAGTCTCTCTGTACTCATTTGAGTCCCTTTCTTGTCTTTTAGTGACCTTTGTAGCAAGCTGATAAACATTCAAAGAAATGTAAACAGTCCAAACAGATGCAATCTGCTGCAGGGACCTCCTGACACCGTAAGCCTCTGCTTAGCAAGCCCTTATTAGCTGTATACTTGTAAAGTGGTCATGTAAGTCTACATGCTGTAGACTGATAGCTCAGAACTATCATCAATGATACGCTTTCACTTCATTGGGCAATTTGATGGCACAGCTGTTCTACCTTTTTAATCGAGCACTCCCATCATTTCCCATTGCTTGTATATAAGAAGCACTCTGCATTAGTGAATGATATCAAGCGGATGCTAAGAAGAAAAGCTCATCCCTGCAGTTTTGTCTTGCCCAGTGCTCTTGCAACATTCGTATTGATTGAGGAATCGATACTGTCCTCTAGAGAGAAAATACCAGACTGATATCCTGCCATTTCTTCATCCATACTCAACAGAGCAGGCTGCAGGTGACCGTGACAAGGTATGCTTGTTCCTTCAGGACGATATGAGGGGTGAATATTGCCACAGAGCAAGGAGGGAGAGGGGATCTGACCATTTAAGCTGCTCTCCAGGCAGAGAGAGGGGGATATCTGTTCCAAGTTTGTTTGTTTTTTTATGATACCTAAAGCAGTTTTTCTAAGTCAAGCATGAAACACCTCCTTTATAGAAGACTTTTAATCTAACATTTGATTAAGTTGCCTCTTTGTCACGTACACAAACTCCCCAGGAAGGCTTATCAGAATAATGTTTTGTAGCTGGAAGCATTTTGCAGAGCAATTCCAGCCTAACCTGACCTAGACATCAGTGACTATACTAGTGTGCTTTTATGAACAGCAAACACATTGTTTTCATATAAAATGTTTCACTTTTATCATCATGCATATGTGATGTGGGGCTTCCATATTGCTATAAAAGTCAAGAGGGAATAAACCAGTTGAACAGGCAGTGGGTGGACTGACTTTTCCCCCCAGTATCTGCTCTTTGCTGTGTAATTTCCCTTCCAAGTGTCATTCTTCACTTGGCTCCACTTATTAGACGTGTCATTACGTGCAATACTAAAAGGGATTTTAATGACAAAATATGCATGTGCCATTGCCTGTACCTTTAAAAACTTTTTGCTGAACATAGATGCAGCATAAGATCAAAAGATTAAAATAAAAAAAAATCAGTTGTAGTCTACTACTACATCGTTAATGCATTAAAAGATAATGTGCTATGAAATACAGTGGTACAGATTATGTTTCTACGCCTAAACTTCTCAGAAGGGATGTTTTCATATCTATATATAATACTGAATGAGTTGTGGGGCTGGAATTTCTTTACCCTCTCTGAATCTCCACCTTTTCTCCTGTAACGGTTTCCCAATGAAACCAGACTAAGAACAATTCAGAACATGTATGAAGATGAAGAGATCAAATGATCAAGTCAGCCCGCTGAGACAGGTGTACCAGGGACCTACTCTGGTGCCAGTTCTGGGCAAGTGACACAAAAAAAAAAAACCATGTGGTCCGTATGAACCATATTTGAAATTATTGCATACTGTCTTTTTGCACGCATGCACGCAGACACGTATGTCCCCACTCGGATGTATTATTAAACTTAACTGTTGCTGCAATCCTTTCTAGAGTACACACTAGCACTGTATTCTGTGGTTGTACCATCTTCTCCTGCCTGTGGCTGAGCAGGTGACAGTGGTTTGTACTAATTAGTGCTTCTACAAAACAATGCCTATTCTTTTCTTCTCTTCCTTTGTTTTTCGGGTCAGGCTTGTGTCTTTATAAATATTTTAGCAGAACCCGTTCAGACTCTCTGGAGACGTTAATCAGAACTTAACGTCTTAAGTCAGCTTTAAGTTTTCTCAAGAAGTATGGTCGCTTCTTACTTTTTCACTTACTACTCAAACTCACTCAAAATTCAGCTTTGCAACCAAATCAAATTTGTCTCAGAAAACATCACAGGCAAGGCATCACTGAATCACTTGGTTGATGCCAGCTGTATGAGACTCGTGCCAGCAGCTCTAAAGCAGTGACCAGTCTGATTTCTGGGCTTTAAAACTTAATGTCCTCCTTTTAGAAATATGTTTACACTCATGTAGCCAACCAAACCAAACAAAGCTGTGCAGTACATTACACTCATGCATAACCATGACTTACTATTGTAGATTACATTTAATATTCCTGTCTACCAACTTCTACCAATTTTTTACATAAAATATGAATGCATAATATCAGGGTGCTCAGTCTTTGTTTTGCTGTGGCATTAATTTACCCTCATACACTCTGACAATAGAGCCAAGTATCATCCACAGTGCTTGGGTTTAAACGCAGGTGAACATTTTACACTTAATCCCCGAAGAGTGAGATTAGTTAACTAATATTACAAAGAAAAGAAGATGTAGTAACCATTAGCAGAGTTTAGACCCTGCATGTTTTGGCCTTTGATCACCACAACAGTGATATGAGAAACAGTACAACAGGTACGATTTGAACTGTAAATTCACGCAAGCTGTCGACCAACTTACTTGAATCTTCCCTGACAGTGCTGGCACTGATCCCCGACCCAGCCGTGGTCACACACGCAGGTCCCGTTAATACACTTCCCTGAAAAACAGCTTTTGTCACAAGACTTGGACACCGAGGAGGCTTCCGCGTGGACCACGAGATGAAGCATCATCAGTATTCCCAGGTATATTTTCAACACTTCCCGGGACCTGCTCTGTGAAGACCTGGTCCAGGTGAGCAGACGTGTCCCGCTAACAAGGACCATGATGGACGCGGGTAGACTTGTTTTTTCGGAGGCTGCAAGCTGAGAGAAAGCGAGCCGTCACGTTAGGCTGTGAGGTGATGTGTTGTCGTGAGCTGAGGTGTCACTTGGCTCAAGCAGCTTACCTGTGACGCCTGTGGGAAAGGCGCAGGAAAACAGCAGTTACGCTGTCAGAACATGCCGAGCTGCAGGAGAGAAGCTGCGGGACGGGACAAAGAGGTGAAACTTTGATGGAAACTGCTCCGACGTTAAAAAGCCCGTGAACGCATTTCCTCTCGTATTCATCCACTTTCACATCGAAAGCCCCCTTACGCGCGTCCAAGCAACTCTTCCAGATAACTTCCAGTGTGCAGTTTCCAATGAATACAAGCGATCGTGACCGGATGATGCTCTCTCAGCGGGGAAAAGCTGTAATCCAGGAGATAAAATCAAACCACGGAGCTCAGACGACCGTGCGCTTCTCTCCTGCTGGATGTGTTCCCAGACAAAGACGCGCCCTCCCCTCTGCCCGGGTTTGTTCTCCTCCGAGGATGCGACAGCCGCAGCTCCCCCCGGATCGTCGCTTCTTCTGCTTCTTTCTCCTGCCTGCTGCTCTCGCTCTTCAGTCCACACAGCTGGTTTCTGACAGGGGGAAACTCCAGCACAAAGCCCCGAGCATGAGCAGTACGGCCACGCGGTTAAAGGGGCAGTTCCCTTTAAACGGCATGCAGCAGAGACAAAGCCGGTGACATTCGTCTGCAACACCGACTATCTCAGCGCGTTTCTACACCTGAAGCGCATGTTCGAGACGAACAATGAAAGAAGGAAGAATGAAGAAAGACATTTTGCGCACAGTAGAAATATTTTCCTTTTACAATAATTATCCCGATGGCATGCATACCTACACTACTTTCCTTACCTAAATCTATACAGAGATAGCGAGAGAGAGGGTGAGAGAGAGAGTTATTGTATTTCCAAGTCAAAAATAATGCACCATGTGCTGTACTGTAAGTAATCGGGTATAGGGGTTCCTTTACATTTATTTTAATTATTTTTCTTTCTTCCATTTAGAAACTTAATTCTTGTAGCTTTTTTTCAGTGTCACTGATCACTGAAATCTTTGGCTATCTGCAACTACAGCAAACTTCGCCAGTAAAACAAAAACTGCACATGTTTTGGAGGAAAACAGGGAAAACCCACCATCTTTCTGCATTTTCCTGACCGCCAGCTGTCTCCTGATATTCCCCCAGCAAATCTAGAAGAAGTGTTGTGAATGTGGACCTTTTTGGCCCTGGACATCATGCAGAATGACCTTGATATCCAGTAATTAGGCCACCAAGGATATTCATGCACACTGTATATGTGTGCTGTTTATGTCAAAACAAAATGCATGCCTTGTAAAGGACACGTTATTACCCACAGCATTACCCAGTGAGGCTGAAAGTCTGTTATCCATATGATTGTCTTTCTATTATTTCTTGTGTCTTTGATGAAAAAAATAGCTAATTTTCTGGTTACTCAAAGAAGCTCTTAATTCTTTTCAGCAAAATCCAACACTGGCTGTTTAGTTTTTCAAGGCTGAGTAAATTCAACCATAATGTCAAAATCCAATTTTGTTACTCATTTTCGACAGAAGTTTTTCACGCACGCACACACTCGCGCCTTCACAGAAACTTATCATGAGAAAGGGTAACCGCGGGGAATGATCGCTAATAAAACTGCAGCAAAATGGTAATTTTTTCTAGAACAATTGCCCCGAGACAAATTGGAGACAGCATAACAACCCCCACCGAATTCATTCTAGCAATCACTGGTACACTTTATTACTCAAATAGTTATTATCTATGTATCGTACATTTCAAAACCAGCTGGAAACAGTAAAAGATGTGTAATCCTACAGTCTGTCCTTTTATTTCAGAGATCAATCAGTGTTGATTTAAAGTGCAAAATATCTACAGCTGAGAAAAGATGCTTTCAAATACGAAACTAACCTCTTTCTTTCCACCTAAGCTCTCGGTGCATTGGTTGGACACATTTGGATGCATCTGAGTCGATTCAAAGACAGATATGACAGCAACATTAAAATCGGACTGACACAAAGGAGGCCTAATTCCCCAAACTGTCTGCCTGATTTATAACTCCATCTCACTCTGAAGGCTTTAAAGACACAAAGATGTTCTTTAGAGCCAAGCGGTGCTTTTGAAAAACAAAGCCAAGATTTGCATCTGCGTTCCCCGAGGGCTCGCAAAAACCATGCAGCAAGCCAAAAGACGATAATCCTCAAACCGAAACATCTAAAGCAAGATATTACTCTGCCACAGTGTGATGAAGAGAATAACACTGTTTCAACTTGAGATATTGGTTACAGCAGTTACATTTGTGTAGACACCTGGTGTTTAACAAGGTGAGTCTCAACACTGCAGTGAGTTATTTGTATCCAAATGTCTTCCAAGCTACAAAAAGGCACGGACAAAATTTGCCAAAAATGCATTTATTGGCTAAATTATACTAATACATAAAAGCTAAGGGTATTCTGTGTTCAGGTGTGTAATACAAAAAAGGCCTACAAATTATTACTAACTGTGCAGCTTTGTGAGTATCTTTGATCTTGCAGTTTTGGGGTTTACAGCTTATTTGCTGCAAGGTTCGATCTCATTGCCCTCACCAAAAAGCTGTTTTCAGCAGGAATATGTAACTATTTAATACAAGCTCTGATAAATCCACTGCACACTGTCCTTCCTGCAAAACAAACAGTCAGGCAAAGTTAGCAGTCACCAGATGATGGAACAGGAACATCTACAGAGCTCGTAAACGGTCATAAATGACTCTTAATAATTAGTGGAGAATATAGATTTTACCAGCAGGTTAATAAACGTCAAAAACCCTGCCTGATTAAAATTTGGCTGTAATTCAGTTCAAAGTCTGTTCAGGCATGTACAGACAGCTTCTCTCAGCTGTTTTTAGCAGAGAAGTCCCTTTGTGACCACTTATACTGTGTGCTCAGCGATTTCACCATAAACTTCTAACTTGTGCAGAGAGCAAGTGTATCAAACTGACCTGAATTTCATGTGAAAGGATCACGGCTGGTGATGAGATTCAGGTCATGCTGCAACAGCTGAGGAGTGGGTCACACCAGCACATTCTTCTTTCACCAGCTGTACCCCAGATCTTCCTCCCTTCAGCTTCACCCACTTCCCAAAAATAAAAAAAAAACAAGTTGAAGAGTTGGTCTTCTGGCACAATGGGGGAGATCCAACACAGACGCACAGAGACATAACATCACTTACAATGAGAGCTCTAAAGATAAGACTGGCCAGATTTAAGTAGATATTTTTATGGACCTGGACGTTTTGATCATACCTCGTGCAAAGCATGGCCACCCTATGTCATCAATGTTTTGCTCACCTGCTTTTTTCAGTTAAGACAGCTAGCCAAGGTAAAGCCATACCTCCCAGCTAACGTCTTTGAGCGTGTTATTCACCTTTTCCTTACTTGCAGATTAGACTACTGCAATTCATTGTATTATGGTCTAGATCAGGCCATCATCCATCGTCTTCAAAATTCAGCTGCTCGCCTGCTAACTGGTACCAAACGGAGAGAGCATATAACCCCAGTTTTAGCTTCTTTACACTGGCTTCCTTTCTCCTACAGGATCCAATTTAAACTTTTACTTTTTGTTTTTAATAAGTCACTTAATGCCCGAGCCCCTTCTTACCTGTCTGAGCTCCTCTCTGCCTATGCTCCAGGTAAAACCATGAGGTCTAGCTCAAAACTAATGCTGTCCATCCCACGGACTTATCTCAAATCCTGTGGTGATAGATCCTTCTCTGTGGCAGGTCCCAGACTTTGGAATAGTCTCCCCTTAAATATTAGATCTGCACAAACACTTGAGCAATTTAAATCATTACTAAAGACACATTTCTATGCCCTGGCTTTTAACACACTATGATCCAAGCATTTTGGTCTTATTTGAATTCGCGACCCTGAAAAGGATAAGCGGAAGCGAATGGATGGATGGATGGATGGATTATTGTATTACATTGTTGCTTTTTAATGCCATTTTTACATTGTTAAGCACTTTGTGCAGCATCAGCTGTTTGAAATGTGCAATATAAATAAATTTGACCTTGACCAATGTGATTGTGGGCTACTGTTGTTGGCTTTAGCACTAGTCTGTGTGACTTTTTTGTAGCCATAGGTTATTGTATATGACCATAAAGTCTAATGTCAACATCTACATCAACAAGTATACAGCAAGCTAGCTAACATAGCAGCTCAGCTGACCAGAGCAACAGGGGTGTCTACAACCTCCATAGTAACTGCAGGTGTAGTTTGATACACAGAAAATAGTTTCTTTACAAAACTACTCAGAACAAGAGTTAATCTTTCCCCCAAGTAGCCAAAATAAAAAAGAAAGCAGCTTTAAATTAAATAAGTCTCCCACCTGAAAGATCACCAGATTTGCTGCTCCGATTTCTTTTAGCATTCCTGAAGCAACAAAAAGATTAGAAATGTGACCACGGAGGAAGGTGGCACGAACACACCCGACTTTCAACCATGAACTGGAGTTCAAGCTTCATCTGTGACCACAGTTAAGTTTTGCTTTCACTCAGTGTTGCTTTGATTTTCACTTGCTGCTTTTTTAAGTTTGTGTATATCAAAGAAAATATCATAGTTTGGTTAAAAAAGATCCTTTTTATGACATTAAGTTCTTGTAACACTGTTGTGACAAATTAATTTTATCAGAGGGTGATCGTGATGCTTCTTGTGATGCATTACTTATGGTCCAGTATCAGTGTCCACCTGTGTAACATGAAACCACATGGGGACTGTGTAGTACAAACATTTTGCTGACTGACACCATGATGATGCTTGAACAAGACAAGGAGCAACTGTCAAAGATCAAAAAGCACACACAGACTTCAGCTATTACAAATAAGTCATTCACATAATATTACTTCTGTCTTCTTGAAAGGGTCTAAAACACACTATATGGACCTACTACCTACAGGTGCACACGCCCTAGTTTCATAGGTGAGTACTGTTACCACTACACTCACACATACTGGTGGTGGCAGGTGTCTATAAGAAAGTATAGGCCAGGAGTAAAGGCTACAACAAAAACACACATTTTACATCCTTGACTACTCACTTATAAATAAATCTTTGTTTGGTCAAAAGCTTAAATTAGCACCAATGTAACACAACCTTACATGATGACATTTACAAATATCATTAATACAAATATAACTGATGAAATATTATTTGGAAATGTAAATAGAGCAACCTCTAAGACAGTGAGCTCAGAAAAAATTGCTGAGTCTGAGAACCTTATTTGGTGCAAAAATGTCTTAAACCTAAATGATAATTACCGTAAGTTGACACATAAGACAGCTGGTGACGTTATCGCACCAGAACAGCTTGCAAACATCAATTTAGATGCTTTTCTGGAGCTTTTTTTCTTATTTCCTATGATCCCCATAAGCCATTCAGGAGCAACATTCACATGAGTGATACTTACCTCAAGACTTGAAACTGTTTAGTTGAGGTTAGGAACAGATCCGCACACCAAGCATCCAAACTTTGGTGTTCACTGATTTAGGAAATTTTAAAATGAAGAAGAAGAAAAAAAGAAGATGACTCTCTGAAAAAGATAAATGAAAGCCTGCAGTGTTCAGCAAAAACACTGAGTATATCTTACAGTGTAAAAGATCCATCAGCTGCATATGATTGGGACTGATTTTATGTGGGTTTGTTACTTCACACTATAGGCACATTAATCACCAACATTAAATGATTTTAACAGCCTACTTTAAA